GTGAGAGAGGCGGCCTTCCCCGCCGTCACATGAAATAAGAATGTAAACCAATGTCAGGGTCGTTTTAAATGTGTGTAGTGCATACATAGTAAAGAGTAAAACGTTTGCCGTTTATTTCTGTTTAGCTGTGCAGGGCTACCGGCTGACCAACGCGGGCTATGACTACCTCGCTTTGAAGGCCCTGTCTTCCCGGCAAGTCATCGCTTCCATTGGAAACCAGATGGGCGTTGGTAAAGAATCAGGTAACCTGGAAAATGTTTTGGATAATTCTTAAGCAGAGGGAGCTGTAATGCCGCATCTTTCTAGAAAGGGAATAAGGTTTCCTCTGAACACACCAGTTCATCTGTCAAATGTTGAAGGTTTATGGTCACTACTTGAAATAGTGCGTGATGGTGCTGGCTGTATTTGAGGTTTTTTTTCCTTCAGAAGATTATCCTTCAACCGTTCTGTGTAATTTTTGTATTGTCACTTCAGAGGAAACTTCACAGGCAGATGGCTTTTGTCTGCTGCTCAATGAAGAACTTTGAACTGTTTTTACAAAAAGATAACCTTAGCTCTTCTTGTCCCACATAAAAATGAGAGAGGAGGTTAAAATAGTGTTAAAACTATTGGAACATGCCATTTATTTTTTTTGTCTCCCAGATATTTATATTGTTGCAAATGAGGAGGAGCAACAGTTTGCACTGAAGCTGCACAGGCTTGGAAGAACTTCCTTTCGCAACCTTAAAAATAAACGTGACTACCACAAGCACAGGCATAAAATGTCATGGCTGTATTTATCCCGGCTAGCAGCAATGAAGGAGTTTGCCTACATGAAGGTAGGTGGTTTTTAGATGCAGAGAGGATTAAAGACATGCTAAAAAATAAAAACAGTCTAAAATTTAAGTAACAAAAGCTAAACTTATGTTGCTACGGTGGATCAAATGAGTGACAAACTTTGCATCAGAAAAGGAGAGCATCATTATGACTTCCATTCTGTAATTGGCAATGCTGGCTCTTACTGTGTAAGAAATGAACATCTGCCTTGCAGAAACTCTATATGTTTACTGACTTAACAAACCAGACAGAGCTGAATTGTCACCAATTTAAAATGTATCTTTTTCCAATGCCTGCCACACTATTCCTAGTTATCATTGTTGATTACCTGTACTATCAGTCTAGATTCTGTCTTTTTTCCATTCTGTGTTTTGTTTTTCCTCTAGATAAAAGATATTTAAATTGTGGACAAGATAGAAGCATGGTCAGTGTCTAAACCTATGAATATGATTTGTCTTTGCAGTGAAAATTCAGAGGGCTGTCACGATGCCTTCCTACTTGAACTTGTACTCTGGTGCTCCTAGTTAGCATCGGGTAAATCTGTGTTGTGCTGCTCCCCCAAGAGTGTTTATTGCTTAGCACAGATGGGAGTTTGTTAATATATGTAAAGTTTCCTTAACCATTTACTTAAATTTTTCAATGTATTGTTGTCTCTTTCCAGGCTTTGCATGACAGAAAGTTTCCTGTTCCAAAACCTGTGGACTACAACAGGCATGCAGTAGTTATGGAACTTATTAGTGGTTACCCCTTGTAAGTACTGAAGCTCGACCCCTGCATGTAACAGAAACCCTGACCGCACTATGTTCAGTGGGTAGCAGGGTTGGTGTTTTCCCGTGGTGTACGGGTGAGCTGTGGCTTCCCCTTGCTGGATGTAGCTCTGCAGCCCACACAGGTTAGGCTTCTGCCTAGTTACAGCTTTCTTTCCGTTAGCTCTATGTTCAAAGAAGGTTCTCTTGTTCAAAGAAATTGCTGAAATAGGCTGATACGTAAGTATGGAATAGACTGAAAGAGCAGCGAGGCACAGGTGAACATGACAACTATTTTCTACATAGAAGCAGTATATCCTGTATGACTTCCGTGTTGTGATCTTTCTTTGGCTTCAGCTCCTTGCTGTAGTAATCAGCTAAGGTTACAATTTGCCCTTTTACAACTTATTAAAAAAAATAGTTTTTTTGCTTTATGTACCTAGAAGATCATGTATAATTACCTTTATTGTTGTTGCTTCAGGGAATGTTACCTTGAGTTGCCTAGAAATGCCTAGAAAAATTAAATGTCATCGAAACTTGGTGAACAGATATCTTGGTTTATTTGCACAAGTTTCCACAGTTGGTGTAATCCAAAATAACCTAGGGGCTCTATCCAGAGATTTAAAGTAGCAGTTCTAAAACAAAGCAGGTCATGTTCTGATGTAACAGTCTATCTGTAATGGGAATTCTAATTAAAAGAGACTAATCTCAAAACTTAAGTGAATCGAAGGGTAGTATTGAAGGGTAGTTCATTTAAAAATGCGCTATATTCTCTCACCCAACTTCTTTTGTTAAATAATTGCATATCAGTGCTCTAGAGGAAGCACTTGAATTCCACATGGACATCACAGTGTAAGTTTACTGTGCTATCACTTTTTGTGCAGCTCTGACTTGAAGGAGAGGCTGTAGGTGTTGAGAATTATTTCAAATACACTCATATATAAAAAGAAGCAGTTAACGTGACTTCTATGTTCGAAAAAGGATTGTGATGTTTTATGATACGGACTTATGGCTATGGAAAGTATCATCAATTAGTTTTAGTACCAACATTTAGTATCAAAATTTTAGACAGTGGCCTGTTAACAAAGCTGCTGGCTTCCACTGTACTTCTTTTGTATTATATGAAGATGATTGATTCTTAAAACACTGTACTACTGCATTCAGACCAAAATATCTCATGAAGTAATTGTAAATGCTGACCTCTTCTTGACGATGCTTGGTGCAGCAAAGCCACTACCTTCTTTCTTAGGCTGCTCGTAAAGAGATGAGGATCTGTATTCTGCTATTTTGCCCTGTCAAGCTACTTTGCTTTCACTAGTATAGCTTCGAGTTTTAGAGTGTTTTGTTTTAAGTTAGTCTAGAAAATAGTTTTTTATGAAAGAAAATGTAATGAGGTGTATCTCTTTGATTGCAAAAAGACCTAGTGCTGCTACTGAGAGCAGGCGGTTGGATTAGAAATCTTGCGAGGTTTCTTCCACCCTGAATCAACCTGTTATTCCCCAAGATGTATTTCATCTACCTTGTATTTAATTTAAGTTTTTGAAAGTACTGGATATTTCTCTTTTATTTAACTTCAGATGCCAAGTGCACCAAATGGAAGATCCTGCCTCTGTCTACAGTGAATTGATGGATCTAATTGTAAAACTTGCCAATCATGGTTTAATCCATGGTGATTTCAATGAGTTTAATCTCATATTAGATGATGATGACCGTGTCACCATGATTGATTTCCCTCAGATGATATCAACATCACATCCAAATGCTGAATGGTAAGTGGAAACTTCTGAATGGCTGGTGTTTTCAAAATAAATGCAACTGACGATAACAGCAAAATGGCCAAACATAACTCCTTAGTTTTGTAAGTCTGTCTATGTTTTTTTCTACAATTGCTATTACGTGACACAAATATTATGACAAATCTTGTTTGGTTTTATGAATGGGGAGAAATGTCTCTAGGATAACTGGTTCTCAAACAGAATGTTGTCTTTTCAGGCAGAAAACCTTAGGAATAAACTGCATGTCACCAGTTTATCTCCCTAGGTTTTGCTTGGAAGATCACTGTTAGACCATTAATTTTTAAATAAAATTAAAAAATACAAGATTTTCAGGGTAAGAGTTGATATTTGTAATAAATTTCATTACCTTGACATTGTATATCTACAACTGTGTTTTTCAGGTATTTTGATAGAGATGTTAAATGTATTAAAGAGTTCTTTAAGAAACGTTTCAACTACGAGAGTTGTAAGAGGGAATGCCACCCTTGCATTCGTGTGTGAATGTCAGTATCCCCCTTACTGTTTTCTGTGCATAAACATAATTTGATCTTTCAGTCACATTATATCCCAGCTAAGATCAAATCTTTTCCTTTACAAAGTAAACTTTACTTTACTTCACAAAGTAAACAAACACATGCTGACTGCAGAGATGTAATCTCCTTCTGTAGATGTTTGCTATTGCCAGGCTATGCTCTGTTCACTGATTTACCTGAAGCTCAGTACTCTCCTGTTGTGTACCATATGTTTCAACAGAGTATGCTTACCTGAATAGTTATAGTGCAATGTGATAGTATTTTTAGTATTTTCTAATCCAGAATAAAGTGTATTACTAGCACAGTGTTTTCACGTATCAAAAGAAACCTATTTGTACTTCTTCCTCAGGAGAGAGTGTTCTCTTGACATCGAGATTGCTGCCAGTGGCTATACAAAAGAAATGCAGGAAGATGATGAACTGCTTTACCCCGCAGGTCCTGATGGGGAGGGTCATGAAACAGGCGTGTCAGAATTTGTAGAAGGTCCTGAGTCTACGCTCAACCTTCTCAGCTCAGATAAAGATGGCAGTGGAGACCTGAATGAAGTGGATGATTTCCCTGAAAGCAGCTCCTCTAAAGGCTTGATGAATTGCAGTGAAGAGTCTGATATGACTGAAAGTAGTGAAAATACAGAGAGGCTGAGTATGTCCCAGTTAAGTTATGCCTTAGAACAAGTTGAAGAGCAGCCTACCCTTTGGAACAATAATGATGCAGAGAGTTCTGTAATTGATTTTACTGAGGAAAAAAGGATAACTGAAAATGCTGCCGAAGTTCAAAATCAGACAGGTGCAGGAGAAGGCCCTGGTGACAAGGACAATGAAGACGAATGCCCTGAGCTGGTTGACTTGTCAACATTAAACAAGCAATTCAGGCCTTACAGGTAAAAATTCACATTGCTTGTCTAGGAGCTTTATTTTTTTTCCCCCCCACTGCAATAAATGACCATCTTCAAATTAATTCAGCAATGACTGTTCTTCATTCACTCTCGTTTAAACTGAAGACTAAAAAATTTTTTTTTTCCTCCTAACAGTAGTGTGAGTATTGTGCTGGTTGTTCTCATGCTAGGTAACCTGTTGATGGGTAGTATACTGTATATGTCGTGCTGCTTAGTGGGATCAGTCGATTGTCTCACAGTATAATATCCAATGAAATAAGAAGTAGTGGAAGTAATGCATAGATCAACCCTCTCTTTCTCCTGTTGTTTGTTTGTGTATTGTTTTTCATTTTGTTTTGTAGTTGATAGTAATAGTGAAAGTTCTTGATGTTCAAGGACTACTTCTAAATAACTCTTATGCTTAGCTTTATCAAGACATAAAATACATGTTTTGTAGAATTAGAGTTAATATTTCAAATGCAAATTTTCTGTAGTACTCACATTTGTGGTGGGAATTTTCAGAAGATGACCATAAAAGGCAAAAGATATTAATTTTGCTGCGTGGAATAACATATTCATTTATGTATTTTAGAAATGAAGAGAGTATGAGTCACATTAATGAGCACAGAACCCGGACTAAAAGTATCACATCAGTCAGCAGTGTTGGGAGCTGTTCAACCATTCCACCGGTATTTATAATTATTTTCTAGTCTATTTTCTGGTCTAGAGTGAGAGTGATTAAAGAGAGAGATTATTTAGTTAGGCTTCCTTATTCTCGTATACAAGCAGTCTCTTAAATCCAGGGTCTGCTACTTACTGCATCAGTAGCCTTCTGAAAAGGGGCTTGACTACATCATGTTAATTAGTGTGCTTGATTCTGTGAATTCTTTGTCTTTGACAAGGTGCCTCTGACTGGCTATAATATTCATAGAATGTTTGGCTTTTATTTTTTTAAGATAAGTTTATTGCCTTATCTTTAAGATACCTTAAAGTTACATGCATACATACACCACATTTGTGTGTTGGCTAACACATTTTTCTAGGACTTCATGTGAGAAGGGAGCAGATGTCAATGTTAGTCATCGCAACTCTGTCTCTAGGAAATGGCCCTGGGTCTCTCCAGGGAAACAGGGACTTGGGTTAGAACTGTGCAGTGAGGGAAATGAGAGCCCCCAGGGTCTGCCCAGAGGTCTCTAGCTACTTTTTTTTCCAGTTAATTAGAGCAAGTCTACAGGATTTCTTAGCAAAATCCCTTTTTTTTTTTTTAATTATTAAGGCTTAGGAAGAAAATACCTTGAAATCATGCTCCAGTACCACTTGGTGGCAGCAATGGTCATGATGTTGTTGAGAAAGGTGTGCAAGTGCTTAGGGGATGTTTGTTTATTCTGTAGGCGGATATACTCAGATGGCATGTACCTAGCTCATGTTCTGTCCCAAAAGAAAGAAAAACAGTAGCAGGAGAGGCTTTCTAAACAGTGAGCCCCACAAACAACTCTCCATCCTGCAAAATCTTGCCTAACACTTCCTTAGTATTTGACCCCATACATTCTCTTATGCTAAGTGAAAGTAATATTTCTGTCCATTAGGGAATCATATTTGAACTTTTGAGTGTTAGAGCTAAAGAAAGGGGAAGTTTAATAAGCTAACTAACATAAAAATACAATAAATATAAAAATACAAAAGAATGGCACTGGATTAAGACCCACAGAGCTCTTAGAGACAATGCCTATTATTGTTGCTAGCATTTCTGTTCTTTATACAGCTTGCTTTCCGTTCAGGGGGCAAAACATTAAAAAATAAAGAGCATAAAAATATTTAAAATAAAACATGTAGAAAGAATTCTTGTAGGCATATAGGAGCAGCAGTAGGTGCGTTCATAATTTAGAGACTATCCTGAAAAGACTGTATTGTGAATTATGGAAAATAAGATGTTCTAGATCAAAGAGGGTATCTTGCTGTGCCTGTACAAATCTTTGTAAAGACAATTCTAATTTAGAGGAAATTATATGAACTGTCCAAAAAGTTTTTTTAAAAAAAGTAAATGTTTACTGCTAACAATTTAAATACTTCAGAGTAAAGTTTTATGAATTTAAATTTTGATTACATAGCTTTCAGAGATTCCGGACATCTGTGATGCAAAGTTTCTCTCAAACTTTTGCAAAAACCATCAAGAAATTCTTCTGCTGTCCTTGACTATTAAAAGCACAGAATTGCAGTTACTTATCTGACAAAAGAACACATTAATGAAACAGTTTCAATTCTGATCAGTTTTTCTTCTGGAATATTTTTAAAGAGATTTTACTTTTTCATTATTATTATTTCCTGAGGGAAAGAAAGGCGCATTCTATGCAACTATTTGATATAAGATAACTCATATCACCACAAAGATAAGATTGCTGCATGGTTTTTCTAACATAGTGTTAGAAAAATGAAAGTGTTTTTCTTGTTTTTTTTTTTTTTTTCGTTTCTCCAAGACACGAAACACAAGCATACACCCAATATGACCAATGCAGCAACTTGAGTTTGGATCATTATACACGTGAATCTGCAGACAAAAACTGTTAAATAATGGCTTTTTTTTAAAAAAAAATATATATGTTGCTATATCAACTGTATATGACTGTTATACTAAGATTGCCCTAGTACTGGATGATCTTCAGAAAATATTAATATTACATTTATTGGTTTGCAGGAACTGGTGAAACAGAAGATAAAACGGCAGCTGACCAAGCAACAGAAGGCTGTTCTGAGCGGAGGCTGCAGAAAGGAGAGGCCAATATTTACACCAAACAGCGTCGAGAAAATATGCAAAACATTAAGTCAAGTTTGGATGCAGCTAGTTTCTGGGGATAATTTATGAAAACTTCCTTTAGAACATCGTAATTCATACACACTTGAAATAATTATGTTTTGGAGCAACAGCCCTTTTATACAATGGAATGTTATTTTCCAAAGCTATAAAACGTCATTCTGGTTCCTGGGATTGGGTTGTGAGATTTTGTTTTACGTTTCATGTTAAAACCAGTGGCTGTGATTTAAACTGAATGAGGGGTATCAGGTAGGAAATAAACTAGAGCAGTTCCAAATCTCGTTATAAAGGGATTTTATGGTTTTAGTGAAGTTAAGAATCTTTTGCAGTGCAGAGGATTCCTCTTAGAATTTTCCCTTCCACCTTAAGAGCAATTTTTGCAAGGCTGTGAAATTGAAATCTAGAATGCTGCTGTTTTACATTATAAAGAGATACTTGCTCAGTTTAATTAAAAATCAGAGAAATATGAACCTGATAGTGGTCAGTACTGAGACAGTTAACATGCCAAGAGCTCTTCTGTACCTGTACAGACAACAGCAAACCATATGTAAATACCCATAGTTTGAACTCAACAATTTTCAATTATTTTCCCTTCACTCCGAGCTTTCACATATAAATCCGGCCGCAGAAAGACAAGTAATAAAAACAGTTTTGTACCAAACTGTCAAGCACACAGATTTTTGAATATGCCTCTGCAGTTGCAAGTAAGCTTAGTTCCTTTGCAGCTACTCACTTACCAACCACGATTCTGGAGCTTTTGTATTCAAAAACGTTACACTGATTTCCAGCTTGTAATTTCCTTGTGCCTTTTGAAGACCTTACAGAAAAACAAATATTTTTAAGCAAGGTATTTCAACTAATAAAATAAAATAGTGACTGTTTGTTTGTTTTTTAATACATCCTTTATTTGAAGGAGAAAGTGTTCGTGAGCACTAGAAAGGCCATAGCAAGACAGAGCAGTTCAGACATTTTCCTTTGTCTGTTTTAACCTTCCAGCCAATGTATCTGCTCAAGCTGTAACAAGGAGCACTTCTTAGGAAGGCCAAACTGACAAGCGTTTAATTTCTCTTGTTTTTGGAACATCTTAAATCTATTTTATTTGCCTGGGGAAATGAGTAACTTGGAATTTGATCTTTGGTTTTGTGCTCACATGCCTGATAATATCTGCTCTGCTCTGTGTTCGTGGTATGCCTGATACCTCATTTGGGTTGTGGCCTATTGAAGAGTTATAGCCTCCATCCTGTCTTGCAGCATGCTCTTGCTTTTGAAGTTTTAAATTTTTGTTTCATTGCTGGAACAGTGTGCTGTGGTCTCAGCCAGCGGTAACATATGGTCTTTAATATAAGCACAGGGGGTCACTGAGGCAATGCAACAGATAGAGGTAAGGGTGCTTCACTGCACCATCAGAGCTGCATGGAAAGAGGTTGACAAAAGGCAGCTCCATTAAGTCTTATGTGTAGGTGATTGAAATCAAGGCATATATGCTTGTTTTTAGCAGCAGTAAAAAAGTTAAATGGATTGAACTGTGTACATGAAGGAAAAAATAAACCTTTTTTTATAATTTAGAGTCTTTCTGAGCAAGTGGGCTTTTAATGTGCAATCTGAAGTCTGCCTGGGTATTTGGTTCCAAAAATATACAAAGGTTGTGGAGATTGATTCAGCTCCATCACAAAAGAAGGGGTGGTGGAAACGTATGCTGTTTATTTTCAGAATGTTCCTTGAAAGCACCCATTAACTCTTTTAAAGGTAGTCTAATGGATGGCTGTAAGTTATCATTTCCACTTACCCTGCCACGCTAGAATCTTCTGAGACTGGAGCTAGCGAGGGAGGAACTAAACCTCAAAGTTACAGCTTAATATATCTTTATTAAGTCTCTCTCTCTCTTTTTTTTTTTTCCCCTGAAAGCAGTAGAATTCCTGAAATATCTAAAGTCATCAAAGGTCACAATGAAGTTTACACAGAATGAATTTCATAGTACTCACTCTGTTTGAATGTCCACATATGAAACAAAGTTTACTTTATTTAGAGTGAACTTAGGGAAATGTAGAGGTTAAGACAATAATGTTCCTGACAAGTCTTAAAAAATTCACATATTGAGCAGCACGGAATGTGTGGGTTATAGCAAAATTGGTTTAAAATGTGTCATTTTAAAAAGCACACAAGGTAATAGCTTCAGTGCACCTTTGTAGCAAACAAGATTTGAAGATGAATACAGAGCAGATAGATAAATATTGTTTGTGCCGCATAACACTCAAGAGATGCAACAGCACATGTTAATTAAGTGATTTGGGTACAGAGCTGTTTAACATCTTCCAACAGCTGCAGCCAAAGATACAAGTTTGTGTTTGTGTGGGAATGTGGAAAAAAAAGAGCACGGTCATTAAGGAATACATCCTTACTTTGGATTTTTTTTTTTTTTTCCGAATCAGCAAGACTTTGGTTGGACAGAAATCAAGGTGTTCTGTACCAGCAAAGTGACACTAGTTTATATAGCTTATGGCTGTTACAAACACCCCCTCACTCAGCATGAAGACAAATAAGCAGATGTTACACCTGCAAAACAGCTGCATATCTGTGTTTTTGCTTCAAGCTTTCGCCAGCGCGTCTGCGCCTATCTGTTGACTGCAGTGCCCCTACAGCACCTCAGACCCCCGCACAACCCACAGGCCCTGTTACATGTGAATCGTTTAATTTATTGGCATTTTCATACACTGGCAACTGGCTGCACGCGAAGTTAATGCCCCGCAAGGGGCTGCGCGCTGCGCGGGGCGCACGAGCCGCCGCGTTTTTTTTTGCGGGATGCGGGAGGCGGGAGCAGCCGCTGCTCCGCCTCGCCGGCAGGTGGGTGTGTTGGACGGGAGGACGCGCTGCGGAGCAGCCTGGCAGGCTGCCCGCCCGGCTGGGGAGCTCCGTCCGCAAGATAAGCCATGGGGGGCTTCGGAGCCCCGCCAGGCACGGCCTGATTGGAGACCCTCCAGGATCGCAGGGCATCAGGGAAGGGCAGCGATGCAGCCCCGCGCGGGCCGGCCTCAGGCATGAGGAGGGCTGGCGAGCGCCTGCCCCAGACACAGACCCGCGATGGACAGAACCTGGGAGTCCTTGCAACGCATCATTGCCCAAGTTCTCCCTCACAGAGACCCTGCCCTCGCATTTAAGGACTGTAAGTACCAAAGACCAATACTTGACTTCTCCCGCTATTCAATTACAGGGTTTAATTCACATTTCTGCTGCGGCTAATGCATGATAAAAGAGAAGTATTTAACCTGCTTGTATTTGCATGGGGATGACAAACTATAATACTATTTTAACCTGAGGATCTAAGATAGACTGATAGAAGATTGGTTAACTTTTAACTGTGCTTCAGAAGCTCAATCCAGAACTTTTTCCATAGTATACTTAATTGAATTTAGTAACATACTGATCTTGTGGTAAGATCGTCACTGTTTAACATTCATGGAAAATTTTATGTTCCTTCCCTTTCCTTCTCTGGTAATTACTTTGTCCTCTTAAATTGCACATTTTGATTAGTATTTCTGCAAAGCTCTAAGTACCAAGTATTAAAATCTTTACGCTTCTGCTTAACAGATGCAATGCAATATGCTGCTTAAGCACAAGAGATTTTCTTGCAAGTACTTGAAATATGATTTTTTTTTTCCTCTTATCACACTTACTTACTTATGGAAAAAAAGAATGCATTTTTTTAGTTTACCAGAACTGTTCACATAGGTACTCCTCTATACAGTTTTCCCTCATTTTACAAGCAGCATGTAACTATCTATCTCTTGTGAAACATCATTAGTTCTGAAATGTTTTTGAGCAAGTGCAGCATAATAAATTGATCTGATGCATCCTGTGAAACAGATGGCATCAAAGCAGATCATGGAAACAAAAGTATGGAGTTTTATGATGTTTTTCAGTAGAACTATGCATGAAATGAAGGGCTATTTAATTAGTAAAGTTTACAAGACTCATCCTCAGTCCCATAGATTTCATGTGCCAGTGTCTGGAAGACAAATTTAAAACAGAGACAAATCAATAAACTCAACAAAATAATATTTTACTGCCATTTACTTATTTTTACAGTTTCCTCCAGTGGTGAATAGGATCACTTCATTTTGCATGCCCAAATCCAATTCTACCTAAGATTTTTGACTGTTAAATCTGGAGGCTTGTTAGGTGTCATTTCAGTTTAAAATTGACCAGTTATGTCATGCACAGACAAAGCTGAGATAACTTTTGATTTTAGGATTTTTTTCTTCACATTCAAATCTAACCGTAATCTCTCATGCCCCTAAGGCACAATGTGGAGGCATTCATTTAATCTCTGCTTCATTCATCAACAGCTATGTTAGAGTTAATAAAATCCATCTCATACAATCAACTGTTCCCTAAGTCGCTACAAGAGAAATGACTTTAAGTACATGGCTAGTAAGGGACCAGGGGGAAATGCCTGCATACCTCTGCATTTAACTTCTCTATTTGCCAAATTCCCATAGTCATATTCACACTAAAAACTGGGAGACTGCACAAGCAGTTCCTTGGAAATGAGAAGAAATATTCACGCAGAAAGATGCAACTCTCACACAACTGTGGTATTAGGATCCATCCCAAAACTAAGCCGGACATCTGCTTGGGAGGCCACCCAGCAGGAGGTTTTTATGCTGCTGGATAGCTCTGCATTAGCACCGCGGTCCTGGGAGCTCGCAGCGCAGCCGGCGAACGCGCGCACACAGCTCGAGCCGCGGGGCGAGGGGGAGGGAGAAGGACGTTCCCTGTTAGAAGTTTCCCTTGGTAACCAGTTCCTGCAGATCTACTGACAAGGCTTTTATTGGAAGTGTATGTACAAGCTGCTTGGACAGTGCGGGTGTGACCACCCACAGATCCCAGGGTGGGAAAGATGATTAAAATGAAAGAAAAGCCTAAGTGGATTGGAGTAACATTTTTCTTTAGGCTTTCAAAGGCATAAAAAGAACTTCAAAGGCATACTAATACAGAAATAACCTCCGTGGGCTTGACACTGCTGCGAGCGCATGCCACCAATCCAGACTGGTGGCAGAAATTCACAGTGCCTTGCTCTATAAAGTCAGATTAATGTTTAGATCTGTGCTATCTTCAGCACAAAGTTAAATCCAAAAGATTTAGGTAGTGCTGTCTCACCTCATCTTATTCTTGACTGTGTTTGAACAACATGAGCAGAGATTAAACTATAGAAAAAAAGATAACATCATATGTTTCTCTGTAAGAGCATGTCCACAGCTTTTACGAACACATTTGTTTCTGTTAAAGCCAAAAACTACCACGTAAGAATGAAAACACATCCAGCGACCACACTGCTGCTCCAGTAGCTACCTTTAGTGAGTAGACTTGACTCAGTGCATGGGCAGAGCTGGATTTTGCAAGAAAGAACCAAGTCGACCACCTCCAGGGAAACATCTCTCCAAGTGCAGGGAAGATGACAGGGGGACTGCAAATGGATGCAGAGATGAGTACGTGGGCAATAGGACCATGGGGTGCTCTTGTTTCTCCCAGTCACTCCCCATCATACAAAACTGGGCCAAACATACATGTAGTGGGATAGACAGCACGTCCTTACTAGGTGATCCTGTTAGTAGCTGAAGCAGGCAGCAGAGGCAGTAGCCTCTTAGGCTTTTCCTCTCTGTCTTCTTGTTGCGCCTGTTCACCGGGACTGGTCAGGTTCCATATTAGAGCCTCTGGCCAACATATGTAGAAGACAGTTTTTCCTGAATTAGCAATGTGTATGTACCTCTTCTTCTGAAAAGCTATTTTTTTGATAAGGACTTGAAGTTTACCAGCAGAAGTGCCCTTCTGGGGGAAAACACATGATTTTTGAAGTTACTAGAAAACCCTACCTGCATTTCTGCTCTGAAAACACTCAGTTTGCGCGTGCTCCATGAAACCCCTTGGCCTGATTCTGGCATGCATGCGTCGAGGTGCTGGCGCTCGGCGGCACCCCGGGGCGGCAGCCAGGCCTGCCAGCAAGTGCATGGCCACCAGGGCAGAAGCGCGGGGTTTACCACAGAGCCCCGGTAGGAACCAGTGTGGCAGAACACAGCAGATGGAGGTGGCCAAAGCTAAAAGGCCACAGCTGGCAACGGCGGGGAGAAGGATGGAACAAAAGGCTGTCTCTGAGATCTCATGAGGTGCCAAAGCCGGATGGGGAGTTTAGAGGAAAATATGGGATCATGGGAGCTAGAAATGAGGAAAAAAGGCTCTAATAATGAGCCAATAATCAAAGGAGATATGGAAGTGAAGTGACAGGAACTGGGATGGAGAAGGTTAAAAAGGCCCAAACCAAGAGCCCAGTGCTCAACTCTTACCAGCAACGGTTACATTTACGTCATGTGTTCGTTATGGTGCTCACACCTCGGACAATGCAGAGGCCGTATCAGCAATATCTGCCAACATGCAAGCCAGACGCCACCCAGCATCTGGGTGACCTGTGCCCTGACAGTAGGGAAGGAATGAGAGCGTTAGTCACCATGTGATTAAATTCTGTGCAAATTAAACTTATCCCCCTTCTCTGCATGTACCACAATAAACGGGTGTACTCTGACTACTGTTCTTTCCCCCCCCGCCTTTGTTTTTTTTTAAATGTTCTCTGAGGAAAATGTGGATACTCAAACAAGAAGACTGAGCTTATGAATTTCATAAGTAGTTCAAGTAAAGGCTGAAGTGAAGAATGGTAGTTTATATATTTCTGACAGCTGTCAGGGAATGTAATGCATCAGTAACAAGCTACCTTGTTTTTATATCTCACAATATTGTCCTTCTTCAGCTAAAATGTTGATTGGGATTGCATTTTCCTGCATGAGAATTATTTTTGTAAGCTGAAGACATGGAAAAAGCCCTTTATCTAATGAATTGCCCAATTAGAACTACTCTAACCTTTTCTACTGCAGAAGCGGCTTCCAATATTGTATTACAACTAACTTTGTATTGAAGCAACTCTGTTTGAGACCCAAATATAAGTCAGAACACAAGTCTGTTAAATAATGTAGAATCACATAGTAGATTCTCTGCCTGAAAATGCTTCCAGTATAAGTAATATATACTTGTACAAGGCTATCATTACCCAGGTTTTGCTTGGGTAAAGTATCCAGAAACTCTCATTCCAGATCTAATATTAGATGAAATTCTGCACAGAATCTTTTTTTTTTCCAAATATATGTTAATTTTACTAGGTGACTCTTTTCTCAGATATTTCTGGTTCTTAACCCAAATACTAGGTATTAATATAAAATTTATAAGAATTAAATAGCACACTATGTTCTAAGTGGGAGCAGGAAAAGTTACTAGCTCCCATCATGATCCAACATCAGAAAAGTCAAAGACTATTAACCCAAAGACTTTGAATCAGGCACTATATGACCCAAGGAAATAAAACAATACTGCCAAAGATGTGGTTTATCTGAGGGGGTTATTGCTCTATTTGCTTTCTCTCTCTCGCGCTCTCTCTCTCTCTTTTTCTTTTTTTAAGAAATTGCCTACTTCAAGCCTCTAGAAGATATGAAAGTCTTTGGAAAAGTATATTCATAAGGAGAGTGGAGAACACTTAGAGTAAAATATTTTGGTCCTCAGCTATGTCACATGCAGAAAAGAGCAAGACTCAGGGAAGCTGGCAGGGCAAAACATCTCCCAGGAAGTATCTAGAGCCAAGAATCTTGGACCTCACCAGGCAAATTTGCTGCAGCATCCCTCAGCATCCCTGCTGGCTACAGGGCACAGCAGAGGCAGCAGCTGCCTCTGAGCTGAAGGGACTCTGAGGAGGCTATATCCCTATCAACCCAATTCTCTAACTGGCCACTAGTCCAGCACATCTCCTGTGCTGTTTTCTGCTGAAGCTAGTCTCCACTTCAGATACAGGAGAGGATAAACAACTGAAAGTATTAGGAACCAAAGGAGAGACTCTTTTCCTTCTCCATACGCAGCCTAAAGATTTTACCGCAAACCTAAATTTAAAATCTAAGGTAACGTCAAAGCAAAGACTCCAGGCAATCATGAATCAATTCCTATGACTGGTAAACTGTTCCCAAGTCTACTATCTCAGCTGGAGTACACCACCTTGTTTCAAGACTGAATTTATTGAATTTCATTTTTTTACCACTGTATCTTATTACACTCTTGCTTCAAGGCTAAAAC